ATGAATAGCCAATAAATAAATCCAAATTATGATTGATATCGTTGTGTGATGAAATGCCAACATAAACAAAACAACAACAACAAACAATCAAACATAACAATAACTATAAAGAAAAACTAGTTTTACTATACATAAATATAAACATAGTAAACGTACATAACGCAGACAACTGACTATTGATGACTGATGATGTGACAGTAGTGACAGTAGTGACACGTTGACGATTTGACGGGTTGACGGGGTGCATTGAGGTTCAGCGCAGAGAATATGGTAGTAGTTTTTTATTTGTACAACATTGAGATGAGCAGATGATGAATAAACAGACAGCAACAATACTAATGCAACACCATAACAGCCACAGCCAATAAAATGTAGAGCCCAGCAGCAGCACATCAGCCGCACTGACAAGTGGAACCGCAAAGCGCTGGCCGCGCAGCTGACCACTCCTTTAAATTGGTTATTGGGGCCATAAAACGCAAGCACAGCTTTACTGCAACAACAACAAGAATAACAATAACAACTAAAACAACTAAAACAACAACACTCGTACACACCATATCAATAAAGAAAAACGATGCTAACTTCCGTACCACATGTATCTAACTACTACTAGCATAATACATATATGTACTATAGTTAAATCCAAAGTTTTAAAAAAAAAAGTTTGTTAAAAAAAGCGTGCTGTAATTTTTTAAATTATTTATAAATTTTATGTGATTTCTTAAGTGTTTTTTTAAAAACTTATTTTAGCTGATTTGGTTTCTCTTTCTATAAAAAAAAAAACAAAAATCGTGTGTTGCAGGAGTTACAATTCTACTATCGCTAACTGTCTTCCTCAACATGGTGGCCGAAACGATGCCAGCGACCTCAGATGCAGTGCCGCTCCTAGGTAAGTTGGAGGGTGTTCAAATAAGAGATTTATTTTTTTTTTTCTTCTTTAAAAGTTTTATGTAATTCAAATAAAAATAGCTAAACTTGTAAGCTTCGTGACTAAAGCGAATTCTTGAGCATGCTCAAGTTCAGTGCGCCACACCATTAAAATGAGTATAAGTAGGATTTGTCTAAGTCCCAAAAACAGATGTTGGTTCCAGTGACAACTTCTGTAATCGAGCCAAAATTTTTGCCAGCGAAACACTTCTTCAGATTTGTAAACGAAAAACAGTCGCAGTGGGCTCGCTCTATAGCTTGTGCTGAATGAGGGAGCAATTCGTAACTTCGTTCGTGGGTAGTTACTTTGTGATTGGGTATAAGAAAACAAAAGACACCGCGACCTGAAATATTTTTGCCAAGTGTGCCCCAGATGAATTCTAAAAGGGTATTGTTAAGCGAATTATTTATAATAAAGTGTTCGACCATTGGAGCTTCAAAATTATTAAATCTTTGTCTGGCCAAAGCCGGACAGTGACAGGGAATACGTTCTGAAGTTTCATCAACTTCAAAGCAGAGCCGGAATTTCGACTTGGTGATCGCACCTATTCGGTGCAAGTGAAATCGCAGTCGGCTGTAATCAGTCAGGTACGCTGAAAGTAGGCCGTTGTTATTTTCATTTTTGTTTTAAATAATATCCACTCCATTATAAGTGTAGCCGAAAAGGGTGTATATGGCCTCCCACTGCTCCCCGGTACTTATTGGGTTCAGAGTGTGTCCACTAAGTAATTATGGCTCATGGGTTCTTGTGCCTCCGCATAACCTACAATTAAGTTGAATTTGCAAGTGATCGTTAACAAGGGCCCAAGATGCTTCAACTCTCACTAAGCTAACCAATTGTGCAGGCAAAGCTTTGCCAGGAGGCCCCTTCACTTCTTCACAATTTCAAATGCCTTAACAAAAAAACAATAAAATAAAAATGCTAGAAAAAGGAGTTGGAAAGACTTTCTAGCCTTTCGGTACTTCAAATAGTAATGTTTTGATGAAATGATCGCGCTAGTCTACAAAGTCTCCGCAGCTTATCTTTAGACTATTCGAAGTTGGTTTAATATTAAACTGTTGCTCTATTGGCTGTTGCTAAAAAGAGATTACATACATCTTAATTACTTTTAAACTAATTTCATACAAAGAAGCCTACACTCACACATTTGATTACTCAAACACCTGTCTCCTTCCCGCAAAACAACCGTTCACAACTGAGTGCGGCTAACAATCGGTACTCATACCTCAATAGCTCCTTTGAGACTTTTCCAATTAATTTCGAATTTAGTCTCGAGTCTTCGAACTTTGCCGCAATAAACACGTACCAAATTACTGGTTCGTTGCTATGTCAGATTTCTTAACTTACAAAAACATTTGTCAGGCGTGAATGAGTTTGTTGCCGCACCGGAAGTTACCTGCGTGCTGAACTTGAGCAAGTTTTCTATGCATTGTTTTTTTTTTTTTGTATTTTTGTTCTCTTTTTGTGCCGGTAAAAAAGGTTTTGACCTACGTAAAAGTTTTCTTCTTTGGCTGGGCGGTATTTATGAGTAAAAACTTATTGATGACGAGTTTGGTACGAGTAAGTTGCTAGGACGTGCTTCAGGAATCAAGTTATTAGGGCGGGGCAAAGAATAACAGAACGGGGCTGCGCGCTTTGGTGAAATTATGGATAGGAAAGATTTTAGTTGCGAAGCTATTTGCTAAGCAAAATTATTTTTTATATTTATTACGGTTTTTTTAACCTTTAAGTGGCGTTTATTACAACTTTTTAAAGGTAGAGGTAATAAATAAATATGTAAATTGACATTTTGAGAGAAATATGCGAGAAAAGTATTACCTATCATAAAAAGATAAAAGATATGTAAGCGCGTAAATGCAAAGTTTCTCAGATTTAGGTACAAATTTAACAGAGAGCAGCATGGGTGGAATGAAAAACACTCCTTTCATTTTCATGCAAATAATCTCTACAACAGTGTTTTCAATAAAAAAACATTGAAAAACATTAAAAATAATCCTACACATCTCCGAAGAAACACCCGAAAGGATCCAAAATTTGCCGAAAGATTCTTAAAAGATCCTAAAAACATACAGTACAGTTCCTCTTGAAGAAAATTTTGACATACCCAAAAACACTCTTGAATACCCCCAAAAAGGTACGAAAAATCCTGTATTATTTTTAAATATCTTACAAAACCACCAAAAATTTCACAAGGTCCCAAATTACTAAAGTAACTATCTAATTACTAATTACTAAAGTAACTAAAATACCTAAAAAAAACACCAAACTATTCCGTACACTCCCGAAAAAATTTCCCGAAAAGTCCGACCTGAAAAGTCTCAGAAAGTATCGAAACACACAGAAAATTCG